CATACTTTTTACAAGTAATTCTGGTTAAAGTTTTTATTTTAATAGACTTATATTTGAAGGCTGCGAAGCTATATTATAATTATTTACTGTCATGATATCTGTGACTTTATATATCTTGAAGATTAATTTATTTATATAATCTTTTAATATTCTTTAATATTTCTTATTTTATTATACTTATACGTTATATATAAGTAAAAAACAGAAAAAGCAGAAATATAAAAAAAATGAAATAATACACATAAATACGTTCATAAATGACTTATTGATCCAGAAATGGCACAATGCAATGTTTCTTTAATGCTTGAATAATCCTTTATTGCGAAGGTTTTCTTATCTCTTTAATGACTTAAGAAATGAAAATGATCAAAAATTTGAAACGATTTTAAAGGCCAGCTTATTCTTTAGCTATTATTGTTAAATAAGCTCTTTGTTTCTCCCTCGTGATCGAATGACAGTGATTAATTTTATGAAGTTAAGAAAGTATTGAAAGAATTACGTGTGTTATAAATTATAATAATGGATTGTAGCTAACTCAAGGAAATAAATCATGTTAATAATCTGCATTCATATTAAGTCGTATATAACTTGAAATTAGTTTCAAAAGATTCAGTTATCATATTATACTTGCCATACTTGATCAGTGCAACCATTTACTTGCAGGGTTTCGCATGAATAATTTAAATCTCATGTATGAAATTATACCTATCGCAATCTCGTTTGAAAATGGGTTGTCTAACGAGAATATCCTGAAAATGTAATCTAAATATATAAACATTATTAAATAATAATGATACTGTTAAATTAAATTAAACTAAATGTCTTACTGAAATTAATTTTCCTCTAGGGTCCAATAGACTCCCGGCTCTATAGCAAAGACGATATTCACATAATTCAAAGTAGTAGCTTATGATAATATTGACGTAAAACGTGCACACCATTAGACAGGTGATATTTATAAAACTAACTTGTCCATTTGCAAATGTAATTCTATGATGTTTCACGATTAATAATTTAAGCTTATAATAATTGAACAAAACTATATTCTTTTAAATTGAATAAATTATATTATAAAAAGTTAATTACTTACTGATGTTGGTTACTTGCAAGTGTCCAAGTATCTTCAGTGAACCACTGTACATAATGAATTTGACCCTATCACTAGTATCAATTCATTTTCACAAAAAAAAGGAGCTACGATCGAGAAACAAAAATAATCCAAATCGTAGACGTAATCAGGAATCCATTCAAATTGATAGGATTTTTGCTTGATTGAGGATCATTTAACGGAAAGTCGGGAAAATAGCACCCTCTTTCTCCATACGACTGGTTAACGACTTGCTTCTCTCAAACAAGTTCCTTCGGTAACGATCTCGAGTGAATATCTAGAAGGTAGTAGTATTTTAAAAAGAAAGAGACAATAACTGAAAAGAAAAGAAAAAGACAGAAAATCGTCCATACACCATGCACGATCATAAGTTGGACGACGGTGATAGCAGATCCAAGACGTTTTTGAAGAGAAAAGGTATTTATCGCCTTCGTTCTTTTACTATTTTGGTGAATAAATCCGTAGGCACGCGGTCACCAACGCAGTCCTTCAGATACACAGGCATTCCGCGAAAGAACGAAGAGGGATGCCCTGAACGAGCTTCAACACGAGTTAGAGAAACTCGAGGAAACGGCGACAGGCGAGTTCAAGGAGGAGATCCACCGGCAGTTTGAAGGTTTCACTCATCTCTTCCAACGGTTCCTCCAGGAGGAGGGGCCATCGCTAGAGTGGGAGCGTATTCAGAAGTTGCCCGACGATGCGGTAACCTGAAATAATTAGCAGAATAGTTACAAGTTACAGATATGAGAATTTGTTTTAAACAGTAACACACTAAAAATGAAACAAAAATTTACTCCAGATAAGAGATTACAATTCCTTACCAACTCCAAATGGGGAAGAAGTGAAGGCGTTTTTAAGCAAGTTGATCGTTATAAAGTTGAACGGCGGCTTAGGAACTAGTATGGGATGTCATGGTCCAAAATCTGTAATAGCAGTACGTAACGGGCTTACGTTTCTGGACCTGACTGTGCAGCAAATCGAGGTAACTATGACTGTCATAAAATGTGTAATTTAAACTTACACGTACAGAGTGTGTATTTAAAGAAAGGAGAATTTATCTTATCCGGTTGTTATATGTCTCGTATTTCACAGTACTTGAACAAAACATACAACGCCAATGTCCCGCTTATTTTGATGGATTCCTTCAACACGGATGACGATACGCAACGAATTATTAGAAAATATAAAGGGATAGACGTCGATATTCAAACGTTTAATCAAAGTTGTTATCCTCGTATCAATAGAGACTCTTTGCTTCCAATCGCGAAACACTGTGATATTGCTGATGACATCGAAGCGTAAGATTAATCTAAAACAAAATATTAGATATTTGTTAGAAGACTAGTTAAAAATGCACGTAATATAGCAAACTACAAAAAATATTCAAAATAGAATATCCGTTATTTTTTAGTTATATTCATAAAAATATGACATTGCATGAAAATCCACAGTATATTTATTATATTAATAAATATATAAATTTATTTAGATGTTATTCATTTGCAGGTGGTATCCTCCTGGTCACGGAGACTTTTATGAAAGTTTCCGGAATTCAGGTTTATTGAAGAAATTCATAAAAGAGGTATACACTTTAATCTTTTGCATTAAACGTTATATCACGCATTTAATAAATATTTTCTCTCAATACAGGGACGTGAATATTGTTTCATTTCAAACATTGATAATCTAGGTGCTACTGTGGATTTCAAAATTTTGAAACTACTGTTGGACAAACGTGAAGCCTCACCTCTTGAATTTGTTATGGAAGTTACTGATAAAACTCGTGCCGACGTCAAGGTAATATAATTTTCCTTTACAAACTGAA